AAGTTTCTTCTTTTTCCATAGGCCCCTTCGCTGAAAAGCCAAGTTTTGTATTGACCCAGGAAACATTGTTAACACAGTTAAGCTTTGCTGCAAGCATGTGAGATTGTTTTGGTGTGCTCATTACATCAGATGGGAGGGGGGCCAGCAACAGGGTGGGTTCACAGACAGACTGCCAGCACATCCTCTGTCATCTGTCCAGCACAGACATGTTCAGCCTTACGTCAGCTGGCATTCCACACACACACACACACACACACACACACACACACACACACACACACACACACACACACACACACACACACACACACACACACACACACACACACACACACACCCACACACACACACACACACACACACACACACACACACACACACACACACCACACACACACACACACACACACACACACACACACACACACACACACACACACACACACACACACACACACACATACACACACACACACACACACACACACACACACACACACTCTATTCCCAGGATCTGTGTGTAGGTCAGCTCCCCCCACGGCACATTCCTAGCTCATTCTCATTCCCTCCATCTCTCCTCCTCCTTGCTCATGTCTGTATACTTGAAGTGAAGGAGTCACACTTTGTAGGACCAGTCGATCATTTTGATTTAGCACTTGGTTCTGATTTGATTCACCTGTTCTGCTTCTGAAGAGAGGAAAGTGACACAAGTGTTTGGCTGAAGGTTAGAAAGAGAAGAAGAAGACAGTTTGGACATCAGCTTGAATGTCACTTTGGTAAACTGTGTTCTTGTAAAACGTTCCTGTTATACCCATACATTATAAACCAGTAAGTTTAAGCTTTAAGAAAATGATAAAAGAGAAGCAGATTTCAAAATGACCTGGACTCATTGTTATCGGTTATTTATTACAGCATTGTACCTTTTTTACTGTCTCTATTCAGGGTATATGCAGGAATCCTGAAGTCACATGTAAGACCTTTCAAGACCTTTTTTAAGACCCTTTCCATACATTTTAAGACCTCATCGCCACTTGGAGTTTTAACCGGTTACCTTGGCGACACACTTTACCTCAGATTGACTATACAGTATTGATTGTCCTTCCTCCTTATCTTCCAACCATTTGGACACAGACTTGCATTTCCCCATAACGATGCTGTTTAACAACCGGCGTAAACGGACCTTGGCGCGCTATCAAGCAGTGAGCATGCGATGTCCTGTTCAGATAACGTCAAACGGGATGCCATCAATAAACTACACAGAATCACACTGCACACCTACGCAATGATTACATTCAGGCAGACTGTAGAATACAACCTCTTTGGACCATTTATATACTTATTGAAAACAAGCTACAAAATGTAATACCTTGCCGTTTAATACTTTTTAATAGCCTTTATTTTCGCTAAATAGATTTATCACCTTGTAATACTTTTTAAGACCCGGACACCCTGCTATGACAATCACAAGAAATGTTCCATTCATTATATTAAAGTATTATTACATGATAATCTCATCCTGTTACTTATAACAGAATGCATTGTTGTTAATGAATTGCTTCAATAAGAAGTGACTTTTATCATGACAAAAATATGTGTTCTCTCTGTTTATTGTGATCGAGAGATACATTTATCATTACAAGATATGCTTTCTCTTTTTTATGACAGGCTTTGCTGTAAAAAAAAATAGACTCTTTTATTAACAAGATCATAATAAAATGATTTGGTGTCCTAACACTCTTTTCCAATACAACAAGATCATTTATTCTCGTTTAAATACACCATATATCTTTTTTTATTACAAGCAGCCCTCGTTTTCTTTCCCTCCTCTAATGGGTGTAAAAGTAATGATGTTGGCCTTCAAACACACTGGCCATGTTCCAGTCCTGTCCCAGTGGAAGAGGCCCGTCAGATCAAATAAACCCATTCCCATTCCCAGTAACTCCAACCGAATGTTTCCCTCTTTCTCTGACCTAAATTCGCTGCTCCAGACCAAACTCGTGTACTTTGTTTGGTTTAAAATAAGCACCGGCTTCCTGTCCCAGACTGGGTGCCACGTCACCCCCCGTCATTCATCCCTGTCTGAAGTGTGCCACATTGTCTCAGAGCTTCTTGTTTATCTGCCTAACTGTCTGTCAGCTCCTCCATTTGTCTCCTGTTCACTCAAAGTCATCAATCTGTTTCCAAGCAACAGAAATCCTATACATGCAGTGTGTTTGCTTATCTGTCCAATAAACGCTCCGGACCGTGAACACCATGTCACTCCTTCCACTGACCTCTGGCCTGTATGGGAAGCGTTGCTTTGTAAACTGAATCAGATTCACAGTATGAAATAGAGGCAAAGGAAATATGCAGAGAGAGATAATCTGCCAGCTGCTCAGACAGCTTTAGTCACTGATCAATTACACATTAATGAGCCATTTGAGAAACTCTATGAAGAGCTCTACCTCAGAGTGTAATCATTTAAACTAAAATAAATGATTTATTCTTTAAACAAATTGCAATTTCCAACTATTTGTGAACAACAAGAGCTAAGTCTTGTTCGTTCGATATCAGCAAAAATAATAATAAGTGGGTAGGCACTGGAACCTGATGGGTTCCTTATCAAATGTTGCATTTTACAGAATTTGAGTGTTTGAGTGATGTCACTATGTTACGGAAGTAAACAAAGGAGTCCAACAGAGGCATTTCAGGCAGGGGAGAACTCCCACACATGACGCGCTTTCACACCGCAGTACTTTTCCCACAAAGGTTCATCAGAACTCTTTAGTTCTCATGAACTAAAGAGCAGATCGCGTTCACACCGGAATAAGTCCCTGAGGGAGGATTAAGCAAATGACGCCGCTGACGTCACTTCTTCTTCTTCTGCTTTGGGTTTACTGGCAGGCCGAAAACAACTTCACGGCGTATACTGCCACCCGAAGTCCCCGGCCGGAAGTCCCCGGAGTTGGGGAAGGCTTCAGTAGAAGCTGCTGGGAGTCCCAGCAGCTTCTACTGAAGCCTTCCGAGTAAATCACCAGAACGCCAACACCTCCTCTTCTCCACCGCTCCCATGTTTTCTTTTGTGTTGCCATAAGTTAGTCTCTCTCCGTTGGTGCGCTGGGCTAATGCTAATGCTAATAATGCTAATGCGAGGATAATAAAATGGCGGCTTCACAAAACCTTTTGGGAGTTTTACGGGGCGTGGTTTGCAATCCGCCCAGCCAATCAGAAATAGGAACCTTTTTCTCCCACGAAAGTCCCTGCTCTCTAGCAGAGGGGGGTACAAAAGTTCTCATGAACTAATTTTAGTTCCGGATTTTTTTGGTGTGAAGGCGACATTTCGGAAACTATATCGGAGCTAAAGTGGGAAAAGTACTGCGGTGTGAACGCGCCTAAGGATTTTAGCCATTGCATAAAGGTTTTTTTGTTTGGCTGATAAAGCTTCTCCTCAACAAAAAATGAAGGTTAACATGTAGGCATGTTAAGTTCTGAAAATGTATTAAAGAATTAAAGAAAATGTGTGTCATTTCATGTTACGTCTCTCTAGATGTTACACATTAGAACATATTCCAGCCTGCCAATATAGGCTTCTCTCCTGACTAAACATATGCAGTTATACACTTAATTAATATTTGTGGGTAACATTTGAGTATGCGTAGTATTTGGTCAGTCGCTCCCCCCTGATGAACGGGGGGAGGTGTTGGGGCATGTTCTCTCCATCTCCATGAGTATGTTACGTGATGCACCTCAGGGAGTCTGGGCACGTCTCGGGCTAATGATGCACGCAGCAGACGGAGCTCCACATGATGCTATCACAGGAACACCATGAACTCTGCTGGCCTTGAACCCTGTTCCACCGGCCCTTCATGGGACTCACCCCACACATTCCCTGCATTACAAAGATGCTAAAGCTATGATTCCTGCCTGTCGTATTCATCTATCTCCAGGCAAATGTGAAAAGCTTTGAATTCCATTTTGTAAAACCATAAAGTTGCTTTCACAGTCATAGTCCGTGAACATCGTATAATGTGCCTAATGGAACATTACATTTCTCTTTCAGTGCACCCAGGAGCTGACTTCAAAAAAGTTTTCCCAGCATATTCCTTAAAAATTCAAGAGCTCAAACCTTGTTGCTTCAGGGAAATTGAGCTGCGACCGCCTGCTATAAGCACTTCCATCCCCTGAAGCCACCCATAGAATCTTCTTTACTGCGCCAAGCGTGCAGCCTGTTGCAGCTCCCCTGCTAGATTTATACTATTTCCTGCCTTAAGCTTTTTTATTTGATCTTACTTGTTAGTTTTCTTTTAATGACTTCTATCAGTAACTTGTTAAATTAGTAAGCTGTGCCCTCTGTAACCTTTTTAGCAGAGAGATTTGTTTTGTTGTTGAGTCGCTGCGGTTTTGCATCCACGACACTGGATACACAACATGGCTGCCTTGTTCGCATCAAAGCTAATCGGGCTAAAACTGCATGGTGGTCGGAACAACAGATCCTCACTGAAATCTGGAGGAAGATGAGGATGCAAAGAGACGAAGGAGGAAGGCTGTGTCCAGATGTATGTAGAAAAGGAGATATAGGCCGCGTTGCCCACGACACATCGTTAACTACGAGTCAGATGGAATAGTGTAGGGTAGTTTACACCATGATATACCTGACAACTACATTTCCATCAATGGCTTCCTGAATGTTAGGGCCGACAAGGAGTGCACCAAGAGTATGTATTTATTTATTCTAATATGGTGCAACTGTCACGAAACCTTATGACCCTCTGGGATTTATAAAGTATTTTGATTGATTGATTTGATTGATTGAAGATGTGGAAACATTGAGTAATCTTGTGGTAACCAAAACAACAAAGACGGAGCAGAGAGAAGAGGCAGAGCTTTCTGTTATCTCCCTCTATTATCGCCTCACTCAACACTCTGTGATGCACAATTAATTCCTCTTCTCAGGTGGAAGACAGAGGAGGTAATTAGAGGGGCGTAGGCGGTAAAGATGGTTCCACAGACGGAGTACTCACTGATTACGTTCCACTTGTAGCACCAGTTGGAGGTGGCTGGATGAGAGCTGTACTTCCCCTCTGTCTGGGTACTGCTCCTGTGGGGTGAAGCAGAGATCAGGTCAGGTCAGAGCAGGAGAACACTAGGAACACTTGGCTTAAGTGCATTTTAAACATCAAAGTGTATTTACTGTACAGCCGGTAGGTAACAGTCAAAAAGATGCCTGAATGGCCATACAACCTCAGTGGGAAGAAAATGCCTTTGACACACCTATTCCGTAAAATATATCTCAGATTTGTTGCTGTTCTGGTATTCATTGACACGTTTTTTGATAGTAACAAACACAGATTCAGAATCTGATGACTTTTTAACTTCTTCTCTAGAATTTCCCTTTAAAGTGTTGTGTTACTTTTGCACTAAAGTTCCCATTTAAATGAAAATAAATACATTAATAAGTTTTCAAGATTTGACAATTCCTTTATTAAAAAAGATTTTAACAATATGGCTCGGCCATAGCTGCAACTTCCTCTTTATTGACTAATCTGCCAATTGTTTTTTTTATAATTTCATTAGTGAAATAATACACATCACAATTAATCAGGGCCTTGTGTGATTTTTAATGCTGGTCATTTTGTTGGAAATATTATTGAAATGATGATCATCAAAAAAGTTACCAAAAGAGAGCCACAGTGACGCGGCCTAAAACCCGGAAGTTAACTCCTTCCGGTTCCCTCCACAAAAACGCAATGCAATTTCTCCATAGGATTTTGGAAAATAGCTGGAAACAAGGCCTGTGGTTGAGACACATTTAGGAGACGGATCACGTTTTGTTCAGCCGGATAATCTACCCTACTTTTATCATTTTCAAATCATAAATCGAATCGATAGATTTATGATTCGATCTTTAAGGCTTGAATTGGGAAGGATTTTTGATTAGTCCGAGCACACATTTGCAGCAAAGATTATCCACAAGTTATTCTGTAACTGGGTTACATTTTAAATAAAGACACGTAACCTGTTTTGTTTCAAGATTTCTGCAGTTTATTTGTATTATTTATTATTCGTTTACATTAGAGCAACCGTATTCTTGATAATGAATGTTTAAGTTTAATAATAATAATAATGTAATAGTTATCATGATTTATGCAGCGCAAGGTTTCCCTCAACACAAAGCAATAGGATTCCCCTGTTGGATCTCTTTTGAAGAAATAAGCTTTGTAGCAAACACACGTTATGATGTTAACACGTTTATAATCAGCAATCTCCACATATTAACACAACTCTGTGATGTGTGTAGCATGAATGTGCATTGCTGCGCATCCCCCCGCTAAGCTGCAGGTGGTCTCATGTCGGTGTGTTGACGTTTAGTCGATTTTTAGTTACTTGTATGCAACCACACGTTTTTTTTACGTATAGAAGCTTCGGACATTCACCAGTGTTGTACTGACGGATTTTATGTTGTAGAAAGACCGGTGAAAATCTCTTAACAGTCCTTATTTCATGCTTCTTGTTCACCTCTCATGATCTGGATTTAATGTTCCTGATGGAGACCTGGGTCCACACCGGCGAGTACGTACCGTTTTCTGAACTTCTTCTTCCCGACTGTACTTTCTTCAGCTCCCCCCGTACCACCGGCCGTGGTAGGAGCATCAGTGTTTAGAGCTAATCTCCAATGCCGTTTGCTTCACCCAGTAACTAGCTATGCTAGCTTTGAGTTGCAGCTTTTTGAATTGAACCTAGCCTCGTCTATACTCTGCGCAGTCGTGTATCGTCCGCCAAAGTAAAATAATGATTTCATTACTGACTTTTCTGACTTTCTGTCCGGGATTATGGTGAAATATGATCGTGTTTTGATCTGCGGAGACTTTAATGTCCATGTGTGCTGCGAGTCTAAACCTCTGGTTAGGGATTTTTTAAACCTCCTCGACTCTTTCGGTCTCATTCAGTCTGTGGCTGGCCCAACACATGATAAAGGACACACCTTAGACTTAGTATTATCGTTTGGACCGTCTATCTCTGTGGATGAAATCTGTGCAGGGACGCGTATCTCAGACCATTTACCGGTTCTGTTTACAACCTCGATCCCTTCTGCAGGAGTCGAATCACGTGCTCCTGCGCGTTGTCTGCGTTCAATTAACCCCTTGACTGCCTCACAGTTTTCAGATGCTTTTAATACTTATCCGATTTGTAAATTAGAGGTGAACTGTGCTTTTAGTGCGGATGAGCTTATCTCTTTGTTTGATTCGACATGCACACTAATACTGGATTCCGTTGCTCCTTTTACGCTTAGACGCAACAAAGTTCTCTCAGAGCCGTGGCTCAATGATTGTACTCGCGCTTTTAGACGCGCTTGTAGGCGTGCAGAGAGAAAATGGAAAAAGGATAAACTTCATGTCTCCTTAGAAATTCTTCGTGCTTGCCTTTCCGATTATCAGACGGCAGTCAAAGCAGCCAAAACACAGCACATTTCTCTGTTAATCTCCAAAAACAGCCATAAACCTCAAGTTCTTTTTAATGTCCTCAATTCGATCATTAATCCTTGTGATGCTTCTCCAATTGTGCCATCAACTACTCTCTGCGATACATTTCTTACATTTTTTATTGAAAAAGTATCTGCTCTTAGGCTAGCCTATACTAGTGCTACCCCAGATCCTGCTCCCTTTCTGTGCCCTGCTGTCCTCGACCATTTTGAGCCTGTATCCCTCTCTTTCTCTCTTCGGAAGTAGTCAAGCACTTGCGGCCGACAAACTGCACCTCAGACAGCATTCCATCTCGCTTCCTTAGAGATGTTTTTGAATCAGTTGGAGCAAGTGTTTTATTGCTTGTAAACACCTCTCTTAGCTCAGGATGTGTCCCAGCTGCCTTCAAACATGCCGTGGTTAAGCCACTACTTTAAAAAGAAATATCTCGATCCCTCCATTCTCGCAAATTTCAGGCCCATCTCCCAGCTACCCTTTTTATCTAAAGCCTTGGAGCGAGTAGTCTACGCCCAGCTGCAGTCGTTTTTAACCACGCATGGCATCCACGAAAAATTTCAGTCTGGCTTTAAACCTATGCATAGCACTGAAACAGCCCTTTTAAGAGTTTTTAATGATCTGCTCTTAGCCGCCGATTCAGGCAGCCCAGCTGTCTTGGTGCTGTTAGACTTAACTGCTGCCTTTGACACTGTGGATCATAGTATCCTGTTGTCACGGCGTGAACAGTCCGCAGGCATTACAGGCTCTGCTCTTGCATGGTTTAGGTCTTACCTGACGGACCGTAGCTTCTCAGTGCAGCTAGGTTGCCTTCTCCCTCTGCCAAAGCCCCTCTTACCTGTGGGGTTCCCCAAGGCTCGATTCTGGGCCCCATACTTTTCCTATTGTATATACTGCCCCTAGGTTTAATTCTCACAAAATATAATATCCCCTTCCATTGTTATGCTGACGATGTACAGATTTATCTGCCTCTCAATCAAAATGCCAACTCACTACAGCAGTTGAAGGACTGCTTAATAGAGATTAAATCCTGGCTGAGCCAAAACTTCCTCACCCTCAATGAGAGCAAGACCGAGGTCATCTTTTTTGGACCCCAACCAACAGTCTCCCCGGTTGATATTTTGGGCTCCCTCAATAAAAATATCCTCCCCTCTGTCATGAACCTTGGAGTGACCTTCAACAGCGCCTTTAAATTTGATAAGCAGGTTAGCAGTCAAGACCTGCTTTTTCAAAATACGACTATTGGCTAAGAACAAGTCGTTTTTATCTTTTAAAGACCTAGAAAGGGTTATTAACGCCTTTGTTACCTCGAGACTGGATTACTGCAATGCTCTGTATGTGGGTATGGACCAGGCCTCAATTAGACCCCTCCAGCTAGTTCAGAATGCAGCTTGCACGTCTTCTTACTGGCCATAAAAAGCGTGACCATATCACCCCCAATTCTGGCTTCATTGCACTGGCTTCCAGTTCGGTTCAGAATAGATTTTAAACTCCTTTTATTTGTTTTCAAAGCCCTAAATGGGCTGGCTCCTGCCTATATAGCCAAACTCCTCCATCGCTACATACAAACACCCAGGCAGAGCCTTAAGGTCGGCTGATCAGCTGCTGTTGATAGTGCCTAAGACCAGGCTTAAAACCCGAGGGCATCGAGCTTTCGCAGCGGCTGGCCTAGGCTCTGGAATACTTTGCCCCTCCATGTTAGGTCGGCCCAGACCCTGGGGTTTTTTAAATCAATACTTAAAACTCACTTTTTCTCTCTGGCTTTTGTTTAATTATTTATTTATTTAGTTATCCACAGAATTGATACTATTTTTAATATTATTAAATGTTATTAATATTATTGGGGTTTTAATGGGGTTTCAGTTTTTTATGATTAGTAGGTTGGGGGCGGGGAGACCTTAGAGAAGGTTCTGACTGGACTGACTGGTTGCTACGTCTGGTTTCTTGGAGCTGAGTTGGTATAACCCTGAATTAGATTAGAACATTTTAGAAATATGAGGAATAACCTCTTGGTTTTATAAACCGTTTTGTAATTACTTCTTCATCCATTTTTGGATCCCTGCGGGGTTTTCTTTTAAAACCCTAAACCCCCCCCTTGGGGTTGGTCTCTCCCCTCTCCCTCTGCGGATCTAAGGTCCAGTAGAGGGGGGATGGGCACAGAGTCGCTTATCCAGGCGGGGGAGTGCATCTGACGAAGAGATAGGTTGTTGTGCTCTCTATCTCTGTTTCTTATCCTACATTTTCACCCTGGACTAGAGGGAAAGCGTTCTTAGACGCCTTTTCAGCTCTGTGTCTTACTATATTCTTCCTACCCCGTTTACCTTGAACTATTCTAGGAGAGTGTGTTGACGTTGACTCGTTGGGCCTTTCCTCCTGTACTTGTTTGTTCCCCAGTTATTTCCTTTAACTGAATCTAGGAGAGGGCATTTAGGCCTCTCTACTTCCTTCTTTTGATTAGTTTAGTTTTTCACCCCCTTTCCCTTGAACTCATTTACACGGGAGAGTGCATTTACGTAGTCACGTTGTGCCTCTCGGCGTATACTTTGACTTTCTGTCTCTTTGGAGAGTGCTAGTACGTTGGATACGTTGGGCTTTTTCACTGTTGTCCCTCTTCACTAGTATCCCATGTCCCCTCTTCATAATTTGGGTCTTCATAATTTCCACCCTATTCTAAGGGGAAGCATGATGGTGCCTTTTCATTTCAATTTCTGGCTTTGTGTTTCTTCACCTCTTACTCGTTTAATATTTAGGAGAGTGCATTTACGTAGTCACGTTCTGCCTCTCTTCCTCTGTTTCTGGCTGTTCTTTGCATACCCTTGTTTCTCAGAGAAGAGAAGAAATACTATTCTAAAAAGGAGCTGACATTGTCTCTTCACTTGTACACTTGAGGGGTCAGAGTTCATATGGTGAGGGATTCCATGAGCGATATGCGCCGGCCTGTGCCTTTACCTTGGACTTCTAATAGAACTGCTCAGGTCTTGATAGATTGAGTAGGGAAGTTCATGAGATCTTTCTAGAGGGTTATCAAGAATAACTTTTATCCAATGACCTTTTCCCTCTCTGTCTGTGTCTGTGTATTCTCTTGTTCCGATGAACCCAGCCAAATCTTTGTTCTTGTCTTGTATCTATATCTACGCCGGGAACCGGAGTCAAGGCTGATCCTCTTGCTGTAGTCCTGTGTCTTGGATCTTCTATCCTGAGTTCTGGATTAAGTCTTGGACTTCGGGTCGTGGCTGAACCTGTCTGCGGTCCTGCCTTGGGTCTCGTCATGCTGCTTCCCAGATGGCTTCCACAGGATTGTAGCTGACATCCTCGTGGATTCATCTTCTTATTATAGACACATGCATTCCCTAACATTCGGTCTATATGCTGTAAAATGTATTATCTCTTGGATTTACACACGGCATCTATTGCACGTCTGTCCGTCCTGGGAGAGGGATCCCTCCTCTGTTGCTCTCCCTGAGGTTTCTCCCATGTTCCCCTTTAAACTGTGGGTTTTCTCTGGAAGTTTTTCCTTGTACGATGTGAGGGTCTAAGGATAGAGGGTCTAAGGATAGAGGGTGTCGTTTTTCTCATACTGATATTCTGAACAATCTGTGCTGTTGTATTTGCTGTAAAGTGTCTCTACTGTAGGCTATTTTAATTTTATGTACAGCACTTTGGCTCGACCAAAAATCGTTTATAAATGTGCTATATAAATAAAACTTGATTTGATTTGATTTGATTCTATCCCCAAACCATTCAAATAACCAGACGAGGGAACCGGAAGTGGTAACATGCAAGGTATTTTCCCGGTTTTATGACTCCTTCCTGCACCACTCTACAATGGTTTTGCAAAAACATGTTTGAAATAAGCGCTATTGACTCTCCAAATAGCCACAGCTGTGCATAATGACAGCTGCTCTGGGGTTGTTGGAGAAAGATCTGGTCAAATGTCACTTCCGTCTCCGCTTTATTTCTCATTGACAGTCCTAATGAGTGATGCAGTGGGCAGATGTTTCCATATGCAAACAGATACACACTGTATAACTCTGGCCACCTGTGGGAGTGGAAATGAGGCTCGTGGACGTCCGCCCAGCTTCACGTGATGACATGTTCAGCCCCAAACCTCTGCATGTGCCGAGAGAAGCACCAAAA